TCTTTCAGTTTTTATTAAGCTATAGAGTGAATTCAACAGTTTCAGATTATGATCAATACCTCTTTTCAAGTTTACCTTTTTTTACTTGTTTCATGACCATCCCCTTTTCCTTACACCATCATTCTTTTAGTTGTTTAATCTCCTATCTTCCACCCTAAAACACGCATCTTCTATGACTCTAATGTCAATACAGCTTTGTGGAGAAAGGAGACAAATGTAACTATAATAGTGATATTGAAATGTACAAATATTGTGAGCGGTATTTGCATTTGTCGCCTAGTCTGTCTTGGTAATATGACTAGTGCGAAGCAAATCTAATGGAAGAGCAGAAATAAAGCAATTAATTAGGATAAAACCAAGTTTCAAAAATAAGTTTTCATTTTGTAAATTTGAAGTGAAATTTGAAAATATTAAAAACTCAATTTCTTCTTCCAGTGCAACCATATGTAAAATCAATCACTTTCTCACTTCCTTAACTTTGGTGAATACAATATGTTACATGTTTAATTTGCAAGGTTAGCCTTTGTTCATAAATTTAAGCTCCTTGCCTGTTTTCTCACCTTTGCTTAGTTTTTTACACTTGAGCATTCAAGTAAAAAAATTAATTGGCAGATGGAGATGACAGGAGAACATTCAAAGTCATAGACCTATCTCTTTCTGAGGTTTTTGGACAAAATTGTTGATTCAGGTTTAAGCAATTCATATTTCACAGTAATCCAAGGATAGTTGAACTGAGTTCAACAAATAATTGTAAATGTGCTTTTGAGAAGCTAGTTTTCTCTATACTTTATATTCTGTGGGAAGACATTTCAGCAGTATTTAATGAATGGCAAGAGATTGATGGAAACATGTTTAATAACAGTGTTCTGTGTCTTTCAGCCATTAGAAAACAGTCCACCACCTCTGCCAACGTCTTCCTTGCCTGAAGGCTATTATGAGGAAGCGGTGCCATTGAGTCCAGGAAAAGCTCCAGAATACATCACTTCTCGAGGTAAATATCCATTACTGTGAGGTGTCAAGAGAAACATTTATTTTCTCAAATACTTTGTTTAATCCTTTGAGGATTGAATATGGAAACATTTATTCTGTATACCCTTAAAAATTGTGCAGTGGCATTCTAGCACAAATGCACATGTGAATATTGGAGAACAAGGCATAACATTTTTCGTGAACATTTGAGTCTTGCATATGGTGCAGAAATGCTTTTGTTTCCATGAGGTTTTTTCTAAAGAATGAACAAAAAAGAACAGTATTTTCTAAAAATACAGAGATTAGAATATGATCAATCTGATATTGTTGGATGTTGTGTAAAAATCATTATCCCATCGCACCTAAATGATTCTTGTTTTGCAAAGTTCACAACTATAGAACAACAATTAACTCTACAAAACAGTTCCGTAAAAACTGAAATAGTCACTGAGTGATTTCAAAATGTAAATAGAATGTTTATGAAGATATTAATTTTGACAATGTAAAAATAAAAATTGCTAGAGAAAAATACTGTGGATTCTAGAAATCTAAAATCAGAATGTTTCGGAAATACTCAGTACATCTGGTAGCATCTGCAAAGAGAGAAGCAGAAATGTGTGGAGTTAGGAATATAACAGGTGTAAAACAAGTGCAGAGGCAGGGAGAAGGTAGAGGCAAGGACAAAATTAAAAGGAAAGGTCTGTGATAGGGTGGATGGCTGGAGAAGTGATGACAAAAGAGGTTTTGCTGAAAGATGGATGTGGGGTGTTAACGGATAAAAATAAAGTTGCAGTAGTCTTACCAGACCATAGGGCTGCGCTCTCTCTCTCATTAGAGAGAGACGACTGGTGGTGGTTTAACCTGAGGGTTAAACCTTAAGCAAGGGGAGAGGTTGAAAAAGGAGAGTCCTTCATGGCAATCTGAACCTTAATGAGACAAGTAAAGAAATGAAAAATTCATGGAGAGTAAGTGTTCATGAAAACGTGTTGAATCATTACAGCTGCCATTTGAAAACAAATTTGAGAACAGACATTGATTTGAATTCATTTAAGGCAGCATTGAGTTGGCAGGATTGTAAATGGCAAATCAAAAGATGACTCTCTGGTTTATTTTGAACTTCATTGGAACAGCATAAGAAGGCTGAAGTCAGAGTGGGAATGAAGCAGCTAGCTAAAAGGCCGACAATTGAAAACCTGGGGTCATGTGAACTGAAATTAAGTGTTCCCCAAAGCAGAGTAGAAAAGAATGCACTGAGAAGCAAAAGCAGAAGTATGCTAAATTGAAAGAAGTATAAGTGAAACACTGTTTCCATTGAAAGGTATATTTAAAATCTTGGACAGTGCAAAGACAGGATGTAAAAGACCAGGGGTTGCATGTCCTGTGCTTGTATGCGAAAGTGCTTTAGAACAGGTACTGTTGTTGGAGGGTAGAGGAGTGAACTAGGGCATTGCAAAGGAAACAATCCCTGTAACTGCTGAAAGAAAAGTGAAGGGAGTAAGTGTTTAGTAGTGACATTGCACTGAATGGTGGAGGATGACAACTTTGATGTGAATTGGGGTGGCTAGAAAGTGACAACAAGGAGAATCCTGTTGTGATTCTGGGAGGAGGATAGAAGGAGTCGGAGCAGAGGAGCAGGAAATGGAAAGGACACATTTGGTTGTTCTGTGAACCACAGGTGAGGGGAGGAGTCTACGAGTGACATTTTCCATCAAGGAAAGAGGACAACACATTGAAAATGCTGTGTTGTAAATTTTTGATTGTGACAGAGGCAGGACAACTAAGTGTAGAATAGTTCTTGTAGGAAGCAGAAGAGAAAGTGCAGTTGAGGTGACATTTGGAGCCTGTGGATTTATCCTGGATATTGGCTGATAATCTCTTGCCAATACTAGAGACAGTGAAATCAAGGAAGTGAAATGAAGAGTCGGGCATAGATGATATGAAGAGGAGGGTGGGAAGCAAAGTAGCTGAAATGCTTCTGTTCACAGCAAGAGCTAAAATGGAACAATGCAGTCATCAACAAACTGGAAAAAGATGAGGGAGGAGACCGGAGTGGAAATGTAACAAAGATGATTCAACATGTTTCACAAAAATGTAGGGATAGCTCAGATCCATATGCGTCAACATTAACAGCTTTTATTTATGTTCTGTGTCTATCACAGGAAAACATCACAAGCACATCACAAAAGTATTCGGAAATTAAATATGACACTGAGCCACAAATGGAAATATTAAGTCTGATGATCAAAACCTTGGTAAAAAGAAGGTTTGAGGAGGAATGTGTGGTGGAGAGTGCAAGGAAGGTATTTCAAAGCTTGGGCCCTAGATATTGCTGGAGCAATTAAAATAGGGTATGCAGAAAAGCCTGTGGTAGAGGAGTGCAGGTATCTCAGAGTTGTGAGTTGCAGGAAATAATAGATATTCAGGACAAATCATGGAGTGATTTGGGTACAATAATGAAATCTTGTTTGATTGGGAGCCTGTGCAGATCCACAAGTACAGGAGTGATAGAAAAATAAAACTTAATGCACAATACATATGGACAGCGGATTTTGGATGACTTCATGTTTACAGATTGTCCAATACTTGAATATCCAATACTCTGAATGCTACGGGGTCATTGGAGTGCAGAGGCCTGTGCCAGTACTGCAGTACATCCTAGGCAGAGAATCAGCAATGAAGATGGAATAGAGTGTGGATGGATTTAGCTGGACCAAACAGGGAGGGCCCTGTAAGGGGGTTTAAGGTGCCTGTATTTAAGGCAGGTAAATTTAAGGTAGCTGGGAAGCCAGACGATTGGGAAACCTCTTAAAAACCAGCAGAGGATATCAGAAAAAGCAATAAAGGGAGAAGAAGCTGAAATATGAGGGTAAGCTAGCTAGTAATATCAAAGAAGATTGCAAGAGTTTTGTTTTTAGATATCTAAAAAAAATAAGATGGACCTTCCACTGCTGGAGAAGTAGTAATGGAGAACAAAGAAACGGTGGAGGAACTGAATAGGCATTTTACATAATTCTTCACAGTGGAAGACACCAGCAGCATGCCAGAACTCCAAGAGAGTTGGAGGCGGAGGTGAATGTTGTGGCCATCATTAAGGAGAAGGTGCTGGGGAAGCTGAAAGGTCTGAAGGTGGGTAAACCTTTCAGACCAGAAGAATTACACCCCAGAATTCTGAAGGAAGTAGCTAAAGAGATTGTACAGGCATTGTTGGTGATCTTTCAGGAATCACCTGGAGTCAGGGAGGGTCCCAGAGGACTGGAAAATGACTAATGTAACAGTCCTGTTTTAGCCTGACCTATGTCATTGGTAAAGTTTATAGCCCAGTATTAAGGATGAGATTGCAGAATACTTGGAAGTGCATGGTAAAATAGGGCTTTTTCAAGGGGAGGTCATGCCTGACGGATCTGCTAGGATTCTTCAATGTGGTAACAAATACATTAGACAAAAAACAGCCAGTGTATGTGATCTATTTGGATTTCCAGAAGTCCTTTGACAAGTTGGTGCACGGGAGGCTGCTAAATAAGACATGAACCCATGGTGTTAGGGCAAGCTACTGGCCTGGATAGAGAATTGACTGACTGGCAGAAGGCAGAGATTGGGGATAAAGGCATCTCTTTGAAGATGGAAGCCAGTGGCCAGTGGAGTTCCCCAGGGGTCCATGTTAGGACCACAACTATTCAAAAAATGCATTAATGGTTTGGATGAAGGAACTGAGAGCACTGTTACTAAGTTTGCAGATGACATAAAGATAGATGAAGGGGCAGGTGGTGTTGAGGAAGCAGAGAGACTGCAGAGAACTTGGACAGGCTAGGAAAGTGGGTAGAGAAGTAGCTGATGGAATACAACATGGAAAAATGAGGTTATACACTCTGAAAGGAGGAATAGAGGTATAGACTATTTTCAAAATAGGGAAAGGCTTCAGAAACAAAGGGTCTGAGGAGTCCTAGTTCAGGATTCTCTTAAGGTTAATGTGCAAGTTCATTTGGCATTTAGGAAGGCAAATGAAATAGCATTCATTTTAAGAGGACAATAATACAAGGGCAGAGATCTACTGCTGAAGTTATATAAGGTTCTGGTCAGATCACATTTGGAATATTGTGAGCAGTTTTAGGCCCATATCTAAGGAATGATGTGCTGGCCTTGGAGGGGATCCAGTGGAGTTTTACCAGAATGTTCCTGGGGATGAAGGGCTGGCTATGTAAAGAGCAATCGAGGACTCTGGGTATGTACTTAGAGTTTAGAAGGATGAGGAGAAATCTCATTGAAACTTACAGAATACTGAGAGACCTGGATAGCGTGGACATGGAGAAGATGTTTCCACTAGAAGGAGAGACTATGACCTGAGGGCACTGCCTCAGAATGAAGGGATGACCCTTTAGATCTGAGATGAAGAGGAACTTCTTCAGCCAGAGGGTAATGAATCTGTGGAATGCATTGACACAAAAGGCTGTCAAGGTCAAGTTTTAGATTGTAGTTAAGACAGAGATAGGTTCTTGATTAGAAAGGGGGTCAAAGGTTACAGGGAGAAGGCAGGAGTACAGGGTTGAGAAACATATCAGCCTTGATTGAATGATGGAGCAGACTTAATGGGCCGAATGGCCTAATCCTGTTCCTATACCTTATGGCCTTACAGTATCTTCACCCATGGATTACATGCCTCCAACAGGTGTCTCTGTTGGGCATGGGACCCTGATGCTCCACCCAATCCCCAGTCAAACCACTATTCATCAGGGCTTAAGATCTGAAATAGAGGAAAAAGAGTAATAACTGTACATTGAAAATGTTCCAGCTTTGTGCATATGCAGTGGAATTGCATTAGTTGTGACCTCGGCAGTCTGTGGAAAGTGTGTTTAAATTGATGGATTTTTTTGTGAGGCAGTGTGCCAGATATCTTGAAAATACTTTTGTTGTGCCCAGTGATTAACAACAACAGTTTCTTTTCAGAATGCCTGAATGTAGCACATCACTACCACCCTGTCGAAACCTAGCCCCCACCTCAAGTGCAATCAGGCCCAGCTAATGATG